ATTAAGTGCCCATGAATTGAACAAATTAATGCAATCATCTTAAAGAGAATATTTCAGGTGGAATGGGAAAATCAAGAAACACCATCAGATTGGCAGACTGCTGTCATTGTCCCGCTGTGGAAAAAGAAAGGAAGTAGGAGGGAATGTACTAATTACAGAGGAATATCACTTTTCAGTCACACTGGGAAAATGTATGCTAAGATCGTCGAAAAAAGGCTGAGACCATTGATAGAGTATCAACTTTCAGAAGCACAGATGGGCTTTCGACGAAACAGAAGTTGCACAGATGCCATTTATACATTGAGACAACTATCAGAGAGGGCAATAGAACATGATAAGACATGTTTGTTGACATTCATAGACCAAGAAAAAGCCATCGGTAGAGTCGACAGGAATTTAGTTAGTTAGTTAGTTAGTTAGTTGGGTTATCGTCATTGCACTCCGGACATGTCCATAGGTGCTCAGATCCTCCCCTCAGTATGAACCCCAACGTCCGATGGCTAATAGTACCAGTTCTATGTTGATTAACAAGTCTTCTGACGTGTCCGGTGTGCGTCTCGTTTTTTGCTGTGCCGATCTTAATTCCCAAGTCTGCCATTCTGGCGAGTGATGTGGATTCACTGCCACCAAAGTCCTCTATCCTTCCCATTTCTCTGAGGGCATTGATAATATCAGCATGATCCATAGGCCGACCGTCGGTAGTGATAGCGGATCCAGCCAACCTGTCAGCTCTTTCATTTCCATCGACGCCTGCGTGTCCCGGAACAAAAATAAAGGTGACTCCACGCACAGTGGACTTCTGTAACGATTTCAAGCCATTGTCTTCGCACTGAACCTGCCTGAACCCTCCGGATCATACTCATTGAATCACTGAGTATACATATGCGGGTGTATTTTTGTGTTTTCAAGCCAGGCAAACGCTTGCGTCACTGCCATCACCTCCATCGTCATGCTGCTGGTTGTCATGGAGAAGGCACCGTTGGCTTCTTTGACTGTTTCTGCCCGCTGAGCGTGCTGTAAATGCCCATGCGCTTCTTCTTTGGCGTATAACGGATCCGTCTGTATAGATTAGTGCATCTGCTTCGTCTGAATTTTCACCGATGAGAGCGTTGACCTCTGCATTAACAGCAACAGGATTCTCTTCTCTGCATCGCCTGTTGAGTGTGACAATACAGGAAAATGTACAAATAAACGCCTGAGGCACAGGTATCCATTCTGCACCAGGTATGATGTCGGTTAGGCTGCATATTTGCCTAATAACATCTTCTGCCCGACCTAGCCACGATTTTCCCCTCTTCAGTCTGTCGCCCTTTTCACTAAAAAGCGCTTGATGCAGTGGGTGTTTTCTTATCAGCACATATTTTGAGGTATGCCCGAGCCCTCCACATCCTGATCCTTTGGTTCATTGTTGGAAAGTCAAGTAGATACCTCATTGCTCCACAGGATGTGTCTCTTGTACATCCCAAAATAATGCGCATGGCTTCATTTTGCACCTTTTCGAGTCTTTCAATCTGGGTAGCACTGACAGTGAGGATGGCCAGAGCGTATTCAATGGGTGAAAGGACCAGACCGTAGAATAGAAGTATTAGTAGTCTTTGCTCGATATTGGAAGCAGCCATAATCCTCAATGCAGATAGACCTTTGCGTGCTTTTGTTATCACATGGTCAACGTGTTCCTTGAATGACAAGCTGCGATCGAACCTCACCCCGAGAAACGTCATAACGTTGGTTCTGATCAATATATTATCACGCATTTTCACTTCTGGTAAGTCCGACTTGACAATGTGATTGTTCAAAGAGAACCATGACACTGATGCCTTCGAAGGATTGACATAGGCATTGGAACCATCACACCAGGCGGCAATTCGATCGAGTTCTTTGTGCATTATGCTGGCGATCTCCTGTCTATCACGCCCTCGTCGATAAATCAAAATGTCATCAGCAAATGACAAAGTCCTTCCCTTTCCATTCAACTGCTGCTCAGTGATCATCACCGTATAAACGTTGAATAAGACTGGTGATAGCGGTGATCCCTGTGGCAAGCCTGGACATATCGTTTGCGGTTCTGAGGACCAGCTACCACATCTTAGTACAATCTTTCTCTGGAACAGAACCGCAGCAATCCAGCGGATCAGAATAGGATTGACTTCTAGTTTAAGCAGTAATTGCATTAAATATTCGTATGGTACTTTATTGTAGGCATCTTCTAAGTCCAACACTGCCGCACATGTCTCTTCTTTAATCTGAAATCCCTCGTACACATCGTAGGCGAAAACAGCAGCATTGAACCATGTCTCTTTCTTCAACCTGTACCCTCCAAGTGTTGATGGGAACTTATCATGTAGTTCCAAGTAGGTGGTCAATCTTTGTGCGACAATTTTTTCCAAAAGTTTGCCAACAGTATTCTGCATCGAGATGATTCTGTAGCCGCAGATCTTTGAGTGGTCTTTATTAGGCTTTGGTAGTGGGAACAAATAACTATGGAGCCATTCCTCTTGTATCTGGCCACTCTGGATGCTGATATTGAATTCCTTTGCCACGCTTTTCAAATCAGCATTCGACATCATCAGCATGTCATTGTATCGGATGCCGTCAGGGCCTGGAGCAGTGCTGCGCGATTTCTTGAGGCAAGTTCTTAAGGTGTCTGCAGTGATTGTGAAATCAGTGCCTAGCTCAGTGTTCTCGCACAGCATCGACAGTTTTCATCTTAACCCCTATTCTTGCAGCTTCGTCTTTTGGTCGGTTTGCTCCAAGTAGCGCGCAAGAAGGGTTTTTTCCTTTATCAGCATCAGTTCTCTGCCATATCAGGTCTGTACCCTGAAAATCAGGGATACCCCTTGGTCGTGCGGCGCCGTGCATGCTCCGTTGAAGGCGCCAGAATGTCACAAGAGATCCCTCGGAGCAAACGCTCTTGCAGAATTCGTTCCATTTCGCTGTCTTGGCTTCTTTGGCAATTAACTTGAAAGCCACTGTCCGCTTGTTAACCTCATCTTTTAGACTGATCAGGCGTTCAGAAAGTGACCGATCAATCTTCCTTGCCTTTTGCCATGCCTTGACAGCGTTCCTTTTTTTCTAGCCCACGCCATGTTGACTACTTCATTCCACCATGGTGGCTGGGCCCATCTCTCCCGCCGTCTGCGATCTGCTCTTGTTTTACGTCGTCTGATTTTGCTAATGGCATCTTGCCCTGTACGGTCATATAGAAAAGCAGGCACATTTATTACATGACCTTTGTTGTTGCTCTTCTCTACCAGGACGACGCAAGGAAAGTGATCACTGTCGTGGTATCCCAGTGTGCTCCACCTGCATCCTGATGCAATGGAGGGAGACACTAGGGCCAGGTCAATTACGCTGTCAGAATCCCCTTGTCGAGTTGCCATTCGGGTAACCTTTCCGTCGTTCAAGCATACTAGATCGGCAGACACTAGGGCATCCTCCAGGTCTTCCCCCTGTTTATTGGTGATTACATTGCCCCACTGGTTTCCTCTGGCGTTGAAATCTCCGCAGTAAAGGACTTTCTTTTCCTCCGTCTGGAGCAAACTCTGCCATTTCGCTGTATCCACCTTTCCATTGCAGGCGTACACATTGACAATCACAAACTGGGCCGGGCCCAACACTCTGACTGCGTGTACTTGTAGGTCGTCATTATCCCACTCAGACAGGAATATGTTGTGGGAATGTATGGGAAAAAAGGAATCAGCAATCATCTCATTAATATTTGCAAAAGCCTGTACACACGTAGTAAATGCTGCATAAGATCGAAGGCAGAGTTGTCAAGAACTTTTATAGTGAACTCTGGTGTGCGTCAGGGTTGTGTACTATCGCCGCTTCTTTTTATAACACACATGGATACCATATGTAGCGGAACGAATTTTGATCCTAAAGAAGATATTACAGAATTACTTTTCGCCGACTACCAGGTACTCATAGCAGAAAATACGGAATGCCTACAGAACCACCTAAATCAATTTAGTAACAAAGGGGACAAATATGAAAATAAACACTACGAAGACAGAGACAATGATGATAGGAAGACATAAAGACAATTAAAAAATTAAATTAAAAAACAACACCCTGAGACAAACAGAGAAATTTTAGTATTTGGGATCAATTTTTACATCAGACGGAAAACTGGACAGAGAAATTAGCTCCAGATGTGCCAAAGCTAATCAAGTAATTGGTCAACTATCTCCCCTGTTGACACACAAGCAGATACCTCGGAGTACTAAAGCGAATCTTATCAGAACTATTTTTTGGCCAACATTATGCTATCAATGCCAAACGTGGACACTTACATCCTCCAATGAACGTAAAATCGTGACAACAGAGATTAAATGCCTTAGAAGAGCTGCCGGAGTTTCAAGGAAAGACAGAATACGAAATCATGAAATCAGACGAATGCTAGGAATAAATTCAGTCTTACAGGTCATCAAAGGACAACAAATGAAGTGGTTTGGAAACCTTACAAGAATGCCCTGGTACTATCCGCCACAGCGAGCCACACTAAAACGTTACAACATGTATAGAGCGAGTGGAAGACCTCGGAAAAGATGGAGTGATGGCATTGAGAACAGCCTTACAGAAATGAACATCAGTCTTAATAGTTGTCTTGACAGAGCTCATCAACGAACATTACATCTCCCCCAGACACTTCGATGAGGTACAAGGTGGAAGAGAAGAAGAAGAATGCAATCGTCATTTTTTAAAAAGAAACTAGGCACAAGAAAGATGCCGGTACCTAATTTGTGTTGAAATAACGTGGGACATACTGTGAAACGTGGTGACACCATGCAACTTATCCCTAACCCACGATGCTGCAGAAACCTGATCTAGGGTCAGTGCCTAATATAGCATGACTATTATAATGTGGTACTGAAAATACAAGCAAGTATTTAGTGTCAAACATAGTTTTGGCTGTGTTGTATTGAAGATAATCTTGCGTGTGTGGTATGCAAGATACTTTTAGTTGTGTTGAATTAAAGATTGTGTTGATGACTAACAAGTATGATTGACAAAAAAGGTGTCAAAATTACACCAGCGACGACTTGCCTGAAAGCACACATCTTGCTTTTGTTGGTCTGTGTAGTTGACTCCAGTCTTGATAAAATCCAATGTCTTCAGCTTATCTTTACAGCATACAGGAGGCGGCTTCTTGTCGCAGCACAGGAGCATGATAGCATGGTCTTCTTCGTTCTCCGCACTAGCACCTTGGGCAATATTGGTGATGGCGTCTTTGCTTAGCTGGTAATTAAATGGACTAGTAAATGTATGCAATCAATCTCTCAGATGCTGTCTCCCCAATTAAGTTAGGCTGCAACGAATCTCCAACACATACACATACTCACATAGACGCACACACACATACTGTCTCTCTCTTATCTTGATGGTGCACTCTCCCAATCAGCTGTCAGACCATTTCTTGATGTTGTCCTCCCACTTGTATCGTTGTCTACCGATTTCTTTCTAGCCTTCGACACTTTCCTCTAGAATTGTTTCAATAAGAGGGTTATGTCTTTTAATGTGACCGACATATTTTTTTTTTTAATTTTTCTCTTTTTCGTTTCTTTTAGTAACTCTTTTCATCCACTGTCTATCCATGACTTTTGTATATATGCACACATAAAGAGATAATGAGTGGCCAAACAGTTGTCAACAACATGCAACCATTCTTGACATCTGGATATATTAGTTACATATCCTTTACATGACGTTCCCGAATGAATCCCAGAGATAAACGTCACATTAAAATTGAAACTTGTCAAGTGGTATGTACACTCAATTCTGTTTAATGGTGCTGACACCAGACAATGAACAAGCAATTATAAAGTTTAACTTAAACTCTGGAGATTTGGACATAGGGACGAATATGTCGTATTTAATGGGGTCGGAAAGGGGGAAGGGAAAAGTTGACATCAGTAAAATGCATGGGTTCAGAAGATCTGGGAATGGAAACAGTGATTTGAATAGAGACTTTAAAAAGAGAGAAAGGGACAAGTGCGGTATTTCAGCCATATTAAAATAAAACATACAATGCATACAAACCACAGTGCAGGCGACATTAAAGACAAGTGAGCAAGAGGCAGACATCGATGGCAATGGAAGAATAGAAAAAAGAGACAGACTAGCAGAAGCTTCTTAAAATATACTACGCACACAAGAGGAAGCAAGTTTTGGGAATACACTGCAGCCGGTCATATCTGTGAAGACAATTGTTGATTAATTAGATGGTAAATGGGTGGAGAAATATTTAGTCAAGAAAATAACACATAAAGGAAACTTGCATAATTCTATTCATACCATCTGTAACTCTAAAACTGCTTACCATTAGTGGTGAACTGATGTATGACAAGCTACAAGTTGTGAGGGCCATCTAGAAGCGAGTGAACAGTGCGGAAGCGCTAATAGATCATTACGGTCTGAAGAGAATTGCACTGCGAGGAGTTGACAGGTGATCTGGCTGATGCTCAACACTCAAGGGAAAGGCGAGACTGATATACAATCAAACAGTTACTGATGTCAGCGGAATTGGAACTTTTCATTTGCAGCTGAAGATGGGGACGGAGCGCTTATGGGGGAGGGGGGGGGGTCCCGAGTGCTATGACATAATCGACATCAGTACAATAACAGGTGAAGCTGATATGCTCCCCGGTATAGGTTGCGGGGCGCGATTGTGAGAAAAACAAGAGTAGTCCTACTGCCTCTCAGACCAGCAGGTCGTATGAGTCGACTAATTGGGAGCTACCTTCGAAATCGGAGAGCGTCTGCGACGAATCATCACAGCTTTCCACTGGAGTTTCGGTGAACGCGAAACTGAAGCTGATGTATAAGGTCAGTCTAGATAGTATACATTTATTCCTCAATGTGACAGGGACAGAGAATTATTGCATGGTTGCACTGAAAAAGCACCACAGAGAAACTAGAAAGCTGGGGTGGTAATACCCTTCCTTTTGGTTTAAATACAAAACAAAAAGCAAGTAAATGACTGTGGTCTGTCATGTGCATTATATAATGCTATACCTATGGTCCGTCAGGTATATAATACTATACCTATGGTCCCTCAGGTATATAATACTATACCTATGGTCCGTCAGGTATATAATACTATACCTATGGTCCCTCAGGTATATAATACTATACCTATGGTCCGTCTGGTATATAATACTATACCTATGGTCCGTCAGATATATAATACTATACCTATGGTCTGTCAGATATATAATACTATACCTATGGTCCGTCAGGTATATAATACTATACCTATGGTCCGTCAGGTATATAATACTATACCTATGGTCCGTCAGGTATATAATACTATTACTATACCTATTACCTTATAGACCAACTAACACTCCATGGGCGACGTGGTAAACATCACGCATGGCGCCTTTAGTTCCCATGATATTACCTCGAAAATGTTTAAGGCTGGTTGGAATCATGAGAACACTCTGAACAGATTAAAAAAGAGTAATGACGACGACTGGAAAGAAACTGACACTGGAAGAGAATTGATTGCCCACATCAGAAGGAGACAATCTACATTCTTTGGACATGTGATGTTGAGATTAAAACTACTAGAGGTGGAGTGGGAAAGCGGCAGAGGCTCTCTTTCTTTCTCTCTCTCTCTCTCTCTCTCTCTCTCTTTCTCTCTCTCTCTCTCTTAATTTATCCCACCAGGACATCACACCGAGCGATAACACCCAGTGACACAAAGTGTCACCATGTGGATTACAGAT